TTAAAACTCTAGAAAACTTACAAAGAGCAAGACACATACTGATATTATATAAGGCATGTTTCAGGCAGTAATTATATATAACATTGATCAATAAATGGTTTAGGGCTGGGGGATGGCTCAGTGGTTAAGTACTTGCCACACAGGCTTGAGACCTGGAGTTCAGATCCCTAGAACCGCCTGTAATTCCAGCCTTGGAAGGCAAACAGAAGATCCCTAGAGCAAGCTGGCTTGCTGGAATAGCCACCCCAGTGAGCCCTGGGTTTGATTGAGACACCCTGCCTCACTGAACAAGGTGGAAGAGCCATTGAGGATGACTGCTGACATCAACATCAGGCCTCCACATGCATAGAGATCCTCACACATACAAAACATGCATACACACACGACGGAGAAAGAAAAAATACAAGTTTAAATAGATGAGCATACAGACAGGGCAAGTGAGTTTTCTGATGGAAAATCACTTTTGGTTTGCCTTATAGACACTTGCCAGCCCTTTACTGCTGAGCTGTACCCCAATGCCTGAAAATAATCATTTTTAGCTCCAAAGGAGCAAGCAGCTTTTTGGTGTGTGTGTGTGTGTGTGTAGCCCTGGCTATCCTGGAACTCATTCTGTAAACCAGGCTAGCCTCAAAGAGATCCATTTATTTGCCTCTGCCTCCTGAGTACTGGGATTAATATATGCCATCATGCCCAGCAATAATCGTTTTTTGTTTTTTTGTTGTTGTTTTGTTTTGTTTTTGGTCATACAGTAACAAACACCTGCCACTCTGCTGAGGTCCCTGTCCTTGAGATTTGGTTGCAGCTTGGCCTACAAAGTGGAACCACATCTGTAACAGGTGATGAAAAGGGAATCCTGTAATGCAGCCTGAGATACACTGATCTAGATAAAATGAAAACTTTTCTCTTGTTCTTTTGATAATCAGTGTGATCTAAGCAAACACAGTACCCATGGATTGTCTGACGACAGCATCTTCTTTATGTGCCATGAAGCACTAGCACTCTGCAAAACACTTTTAGACATTTTGGGTAAATAAACCCCTGTGCCGGTGCACGTCTATAACCCCAGCACTTGGCAGGTAGAAGCGAGAGGGTCAGACCAGGAGTTCAAGGACATCCTCAGCTACATGGTTAAGTCTGAGGCAGGTCTGGAATACATGATACCTTTTGTGTGCTGTCCCCACCCCCAGAAAAAAGGAGGATGGGGAGTGGATGAGGAAAAATAAACTAGGACAGAAGGTAATACCTTCTGTATTACTCCCTATTGCCAATACAAAATAAATATAACTTCAAATTCCATCACTTCTTTGACCACTGACAACTAGAATTTTTTTTTGTTGTTGTTGTTTTTTGTTTTTCGAGACAGGGTTTCTCTGTGCAGTTTTGCGCCTTTCCTGGGACTCACTTGGTAGCCCAGGCTGGCATCAAACTCACAGAGATCTGCTTGCCTCTGCCTCCCAAGTGCTGGGATAAAAGGCGTGTGCCACCACTGTCCAGCCAACTAGAATTTTCTAATAAAGAATTTTTCATTGGTATTTGGTTGTTATGAAATGAGAGGATAAATATTTCATTCTTCATTTATCAACAGTGCCCTACCATGATCCACAGCTGATCAGTTCATTTGATAAGAGGCAGAAAAACAAGGCAGAGGAAAACGCTCTTCGATGGCTACAGTGGTCCTGACCAAAGGACACAGGTGTCAGTACTGGGGATCCTCACTAGCTAAAACACAGGATAACTTGGTACATTAAAAAATGCTACAATACAGTGATTTTTTAAAATGGGGATTATATTATAGATTATTAGTTTCTTTTTATGTTGTCTTTATTAAATATTGACCAGGAATACAGAATACAGACTATTAACACTAGAAAATTCCAAAGAATTTCACACTATGAATATTCTAATGAGTGGACAAGGGAGCTATTCAGTGAGAGGCCCTGAGTTCGGTCCTCAGTACCACACCACCACAAGACAAACACAAACACACACACATATGCACATTGGAAGTGATGATGCACACCTGAGGTAGGACTTGAAGTTCAAGGGTCTAGTCTGGGTCACACAGTAGGACTGCATAAAACAATAAAACCAAACACTTAACAGGAATCAGATCTCTAAAGTTCAATGAGGGATAAACGTTGGAAGGCATTCTATGTCCATCACACTTGCAGTCTTTCATAAGAATTCTCAGAAGAGTAATAGTAAGTCACTGTAACAAATTTAGTGGCTTTAAATAATGACCATTGTATTATTTTATGAGTATGTGGCCAGTTGATTCTTCTGTATGGTGCCAACTGAGGTCACTTAGTGGCATTCAGTTGGTGGCTGGTCTGGAAGATCCAAAACTATTCCTACCCAATGTCTAGTATCATATGGTCATATCCAGAAGTCTGGCTTCAGCAAAGGTCTCTGCCTGTGTGGTCTCAGGGCCTCTTCACATGTCTCTTCAGCCAGATTTTCAAATATGACAGTTGAGCTTGAGAGAATATTCTGAGATGCAGCAACCCTAGGAGTCGAGCCTGGGCCCCAACAGCAGTACAGACATGTTTCCACTATGTTCTCCTGGGCAAACTGGCATCTGCCCAAATTCCAAGAAAAGGACGAGGACTGCACAACTTGATGGAGTTTTGAAGACCTTGCAGCCATTTTTGCCAGTTCTAGCTCACCAGTTCACAAATGAAAAAATCTACAGCCCAGAGCAACTGAGTGTTCTAATATAACTGGAGTGAGAGAATTGAGTTATTTTCCCCCACGTTTGTTTATATGTAGGACTGACTGTAGAATAAGTGTGTTGAAGCATTACAGCTGTGAACAGACTGGAACACAATGAAACACATTAAATTAACACATTCCTTTAATGGTATAAACCCTCTTATGCCAGATCAGTTACATGTATGAGCAAGAGAGATCAGTTGTAACATTCATAGAACGTTCTATAAGACTCTGTTACACTTTGACACTATGAATCTTCAGATGATGGGTGAGGTGTGAATGCTGTCTAAAGGCCTTCTTACATTCTTTACACTCATAGGGTTTCTCACCAGAATGAATTCTCAGATGTTGAATAAGAGACGAATTAAGTCGAAAGACCTTCCTACATTCTTTACACTCAAAGGGCTTTTCCCCAGTGTGAATGCTCTGGTGTAGAGTAAGTTTCTGACGCAACCTAAAAGACTTCCCACATTCCTTACATGTGTAGGGCTTCTCGCCAGCGTGGATGCTCTGGTGCTGTGTGAGCTGTGAGAGCAGTCTGAAGGCTTTCCCACACTCTTTACAGTCATAGGGTTTAACACCAATGTGAATACTCTGATGTGAAATAAGCTGTGAGTATCGACTGAATGCCTTCCAGCATTCCTTGCATTCATAAGGCTTTTCCCCCGTATGTATTCTGTGATGGAGAATAAGATGGTAGCCCCGACTAAAGGTCTTCCCACATTCATTACATTCATAGGGCTTCTCACCAGTGTGGATCCTCTGATGCAGGGTTAGCTGCTGTCGAACTCTAAAGGCCTTCCCACAGTCCTTACATTCATAAGGCTTCTCACCAGTGTGAAGTTTGTAATGTACTCTAAGGCCAGAACCACACAGAAAGTCTTTCCCACACTCTTTACACTCATAGAGTCTGTCAGCAATATTAAGTTTCTGATGTCGAGTAAGGTGTGCATATTGCCTGAAGGCCTTCCCACATTCTTTACACACATAGGGCTTCTCACCAGTGTGGATCCTCTGATGGAGAGTGAGTTGTCCTCGTACCCTGAAGGCTTTCCCACATTCTTTACATGCGTAGGGCTTCTCGCCGGGATGAAGTTTTTGATGTGCTTTAAGGTCTGGGCCATACATGAATGCTTCCCCACACTCCTTACACTCATACAGTTTTTCACCAGAATGAAGTCTCTGATGTCTGGTAAGGTGTGCAGTCTGCCTAAAAGCCATCCCACATTCCTTACATTCATAGGGCTTCTCGCCAGTATGAATTCTATGATGAAAAGTAAGCTGTTGGCGGACTCTAAATGCCTTCCCACATTCATTACATTCATAGGGTTTCTCCACAAAATGGATTCTCTGACGTGGAGTAGCAGATGTATGCTTTTGGTAAGAGGACATTTTTTCAGACGTGATTTTCACTTGTCTGAGATATCCCTCCTGAGATCCCTCTTGGCTTTCATGTTTTCTTTTGGACTCCCATTCACTTTTTAAAATAAGGCCCTTCAGGCTACCGTTCCCAATTCTTTCCATTATCTTCCATTGGGATAAATTCATTTCATAAATGCCATTTTCTGAGGATAACTGATTGGTCTCATCCTTAGTTTCCAAATCTGCAAGAAAGAAAGCAGACACACGCTATTTTCTTTTTCTCAAGAAGTAAACTTTCTACAGTAAAAATAGAAGACGAAGAAGGTAACATTCAATCAAACTCAAATTAGTGTCATATAATTTGGGGGGCAAAAGGGAATACTAGGAAAATGAGAGTTCATATAAGGAAAGTCAGTGGTAATCAATTAAACATTATTTATCACTGGTTCATGAACTGAGGTATGAATCAGAATTGCTGGGTGGCTTATTATAAACACTGTTTAAAGCTGGGTGTAGTGGCAGACATCTTTAATCCCAACACTCGGGAGGAAGAGAGAGGTGAAACTGTGAGTTTGAGGCCAGCCTGATCTACAGAGTGAGTTCTAGGACTGCCAGGGCTACATAGTGAGAACCTGTCTCAAAAAACAAAAACAAACAAACAAAAAATCCCAATACTGTTCAAATACTACCAGAACCACCTGGATAAGACTATAATTTTTTCCCCATTTTTCATGTGTTTTTGTGTTTGTATGTGTGACGTGCACTTGTATGTAGATACATGTTTTGCACATGTATAGGTACACATGGGGGGCATGTGGAGGCCTAAGGTTGATGTCAGGAATCATCCTCAATTTACCATCCATCTTATTCATTGAGGATTGGGTCTTTCAACCAAACCCAGAGCTAGCCAATATGGCTAGTCTTGCTAGCTAGCTTGTTGTAGGGCAGTGGTTCTCAACATGTGAGTCGAGATTCCTTGGGAGGGGTCACATATTAGATATCCTGCGTATCAGATATTTACATTTGACCCATAACAGTAGTAAAATGACAGTTATGAAGTAGCAATGGAAATAATTTTATGGTTGGGGGTCACCACAACAAGAGGAACTGTATTAAAGGGTCCCAGCATTAGGAAGGTTGACAACCACTGCTCTAGGAAATCCTCTATCTTTGCCTTCCAAATCTGGAATTGCCAGTGGATCACCACACCTAACTGGCATTTACACTGGTTCGGGGGAACTGAACACATTTATGCAGCAAACACTTTAACCACTGACCCATCTTCCCAGACCAGATTCTAATTTTTATTAAACATTTAGGAGACTGGAGAGATGGTCCAGCGGTTAAGAGCACTGGCTGCTCCTGCAGAGTAGATCTATTTATTTTAGGTGTACGAGTGTTGTGCCTCCATGATTTTTGTGCACTGTGGACATGTAGAGGTCAGAGGAGGGTGTTGGATCCCCTGGACCTGGAGTTACAGCTGTTTGTGATCCATCACGTGGGTTCTAGGAACTGAACCTAGGTCCTCTACAAGAGCAACAGCCCTCTTAACCATGAAGCCATATCTCTAGGTCCTCCACCTTATTTTTGGAGACAGTCTCTGAAGCTGGAACTTATCAGTTCAGTTAGGCTGGCTGGCCAGTAAGCTCTGGGATCCTCTGTCTCTGCCTTCCCAGCACTGAGATTACGCACACTGGCTTTTAAATGGATGCTAAGACTCTTCTAACTCAGGGCATCCTGTGTGCAAAGCAAGTGCTTCATCAACTGAGCACTCTCTCCCGCTCCACAACTCTCATTATTAACAATTTTGCATTTTCACAGTTGTGACTGACTTTCCCAACTTTATAAAATGTACTGGAGATGGAACCCAGAGTCTCGCACAGCTGTAACATTGTGCTGTTCAAGCCTCAGCTTTTCCTTACCTGAAAGGCTCTTTAAAGGCAGACACAATCTTAACTTATTCTCTACTAAATGATAAGGTCATAGCATAATAGAATTGACTTATTTATTTATCACAGCTCCTACTTGTTCTAAGTATATCTTTTTGCCTCTAATCTCATAGTTTACTGCAGATGGGTAAATAGTCTCTTCATGCATCTAAGCATGCACAGTTAAACACACACATGGCACAGGGAGATCATTCTTACGCCTTCCCCACTTTGCATCTCTCTTATGTCCATTCTTTTCCTTTCCTTGTGGTACTTAAGGTTGGACCCAGGGCCTCACCAACACTAGGCAAGCCATAGTTCAAAAGGCTTCTTATGCGGGCCGTAGTGGTGCACGCCTTTAATCCCAGCACTCTGGGCAGAGGCAGGTGGATCTCTATGAGTTCGAGGCCAGCCTGGTCTACAAAGTGAGCTACAGAACAGTCAAGGCAACACAGAGAAACCCTGTCTCAAATTAAATCAAAACAGGCTCCTTCTATTGTTATTTAGGCTGGGTTCTCTTCAGTGTCCGTTTCCTGTCTGTTTCCTCATTCGTTATATCACAGCTGCTTCATTCCTTCCTCCCCCTGCTCTGGTCTTCTCTGTTTCATTCCCTCGTTAGAGAGACCTCTCTTGGATTTTCTGAGATTATCCATTACTGCATTTCCAGACCATGAAACAGGTGTACATCTCACTGAAAAGCTTAGAACTCCTAGGGGATGATGTCACTAGGTAATGGAGGCAAAAGCTCTTGAACATATCTGAACGTGAAGGTGTAGTACCTGAAGAGCAGAAGCAAGCCAAGAGGAGGAGTCAGAGAAATGCTGTGCAGAATGACCCTCGTGAAAGAGGATGAGATTTTCAATTATTGCAATTGTGGTCTGTGTAAAAAGTTGAAATCATATAGGTATTTTGTACCAAACTAGAAATAATGAAAACAGAAAATCTATTTAAAAATTTAAAAATATGATCTATAACTTTTATGTCAATAGGAAAAAAAGATTTAAAATAGTATCTAGTATCATTGCTTTTTAGAAAACAAAAAGGTAAAAAGAAAGTTACAATGGTGGGTGAGGATCCACAGGCCTGTGACCACAGCACGCCTGAGGTTGAGACAGGAGAACCGCAAATGCAAGTGCAGCCTGGGCACTCCAGCAAGACCCTATCTCAGATACAATGTATAAGGGAAGTGCAGCCTGAGCACTCCAGCAAGACCCTATCTCCAATACAATGTATAAGGGAAGTGCAGCCTGGGCACTCCAGCAAGACCCTATCTCCAATACAATGTATAAGGGACCAAGGACGCATCCTTGCAGCTTGGTGGTAGAGTGCTTGCCTAAGGTATGAAGTCCTGAGTTCCACACAGCACTAAAAGCAAACAAACAAGACAAAAATAAACAAAATGGAGAACAAACATAGAAATAACAATGACAACGTACTGGGGGTACATCTATATAGAAACATAATATTATAATTTATAACACGAGCACTTGGGAAACTGAGGCAAGAGGGCTCACAGAAACTGTCTCAAACAAACAAAAATATATAAATAAAAAGCAAACAAGAAGCCGGGCAGTAGTGGCACACGTCTTTAATCTTAGCACTTGAAGGCAGAAGCAGGTGGATCTCTGAGGCCAGCCTGGTCTACAGAGCAAGTTCTAGGACAGCCAGGGCTATACAAACTATGTCTTGGGAAAGAAAAAGAAAAAGAAAAAAAAAAAAAAAAAAAAAAAGGAAACAATAATGTGAAAATGATAAGTACAGAGCATTATTAGGAAAAAAAAATGACTGGCAATAAATTTAGATTTAAAAAATGTAGCATAACTAAAATGGGTATTTTTCTGGGAAAACACAATTGACCACCAAGGATATATATTTAACAGACAAATTTTT